ATTCATGTTAATTTATGTTAATTCCGCCCACACAGCTTAAAAGACGCGGTCCATGCTTGGCAATGTTCACTCAAGCGCTGTCTTCTGGACAGTCCTGTTTATTCACCTGAAGAAGGCTACTTGTGTTGTGGCCGAAACGTTGCGATAATTTTTATTTTATTATGTTTTATTTTTATTATTTTATTTCCATTCTACGTGGTGACTTTACCGAAAGAACCAAGAAGATGAATCCCTGCAGTCACGAAAGCTTTAAATCGAAACATATAGAATAAATTAACATAATATATAATTAGTCTATCTCATCCCTATATTGTCAGCTTCTCTCATCTGTCTCGTGTCTGTCATTCTTACATTACTACACCTGTCTTGTTTGTATATCTCTCCTCTCATCTGATTAGAGCTCTACCGTTTGTCCACGTTTCTTCTAACTACATCTTTCTCTCAGCTACATCTCTTCTCTCATGTCATTGGGAGTTGAAAGGTGCAGGTGACCCCAAAGACAGCTTCTGCTTGGCGCCTCCAATTGGCAATTACCACCACCACATTTCCTTTAAATCTGAACGTGTGACAATTGTAATAGTGGGACATGCATTACTCACATTTGCATATAACGCTGCCATTATCTGAAAGTTGCGTCAATAATAATACTAATTAAATAATTTGCAAGGCGCACAAATTTCACCAAACTGACAACGCGTTGTTCGATTGGGAACTTGTTTTGCCTGGGACAGTTCTCAGCGCCGCACTTTTTTGGAAGAAATAACATTTCGTATTAATTATGCTTTTACGTGAAATCACACCGCAGTTGACATTTTCTGGAGAAAAAGAAGGTTACTCTGGTATTTGTAAGCACAACACTGGCCAGAAACAGAGTGCGCTTTTCATGCCGGGAAAGTTGAGAAAGTGCCGTGTCAAAATGCATTAGTGTGATAAATTCAAGGATATTACTGTAGCACACTCAAAACGGCCTGATATTTTTGCTTATTCTGATGTCTAAGTAAACGGTAAGGCTGTGGGGCCACACACACTTGTGATAACATTGCTTTGTTGTGTGTAGATTGGTAAATAATGATAACGGTGGGACTTTACAGAATTTGTCATGTGATGTTTTCTTGTTGTGCAGCATTCTGTCACCTTACACTTTCGTCAAAACAATCGTCTTGATTTGTTTTGGTAAACTTGAAAAAATTCCCAACTATTTTGCATTTTTTTTCATAAATGTGACATTATCATGTGTGAAAGTACAAGCCATGTTATCAAGCTGTAGGCACTTCCTGTTTGAAATCAAACCACAAGAGTAAACCCATGCATTAATTAGTAATAAAACATATTGTTTGAATTGCACTTTGGTAACATTCCTTGTTTTTTTTTGCAGCCTGGTTTGAGATGCTGCGGAGAGATTCAATTTAATTTCGCGATTGCGCGCTGTCGTGGTGCTTGTTTTGGATGCTTGTTTTACAATTTCCTTTTTAGAGACGCCACACATTTGATTGTGCATGGGAGCTGCAAGGAAGAGTTTCTGCGTGTCTCGTGCCAATCTGATAAATGTTACTGATTGGCTTCGTTTTGGCGAGCCCATCGCTATTGATTTGTGTGTGGCTTTTGTGGCTCGTTAAGTTGAGGTTTTCTTTCCAAATATTATTGAATGCATGCTGATTAGAATGAAAAAAAAGCACATATATAATATTGCCTGTGGCAATCCCATGATTAATTCCACTTTTAAGAACACATTAATTAATGCATGTATTCATAAATTAATATACAGATAAGTAAATTCATAAATTAGTTCGTAAAATGAATGCCTTCACATTTACACTTGTGGGTCTTTGTAAGTACTGCTGAATTTTTAATTGAGGAATCACTACTTATAGACGTATTGCCATATGTGCTGTAAACAAACTGACACAAGTTGCATAGGATTTACTCATGCAATTTCATTCTCTGAGAACCCAGCGTTAACCTTTGCTTTGAACAATAAAGATGGCACTCTGTGTAGCTCACCCAAGTGTTCTTGGTTGTACCGAACGTTCGGCATGATGTTTCTACATTTTTCTCCGCATGCTGGAAGCTGCTTTAGGAACTGATTTGAGTGGCTCATGTTCTCCGTCGCTTATATGGCGTTGCTGGATTTCGCTGGTGTTGCCCGTTCTTGACGCCGATTGGCACAGCTCTCCTGAGGTAGTTGGCCGATTTTGTTTTTGCTTCATCTGGCAGGGATTTCTGAGCCAACTGTGAGCCATTCAGTTCAATTCCTGAAAAAAATCTCTCGACACATGGAGCAAAACGTCGGACGTCATACTGAACAGAATGCAGTCCAATCTGAAACAGATTAGAGAGCTGTACAGCAGCACACCCATGGAAAACCTCCACGATAGTATGGCAGACTTACACACCGAGCATTGAACCATTGACTTTGTGTTCCTGTGCTGTGCAATAAAATTATTTCACTTAGAACACTGGGCAGAATAGAATGTTCTTTGGCCACTGCCCTATGCTGTCTTGAAGTTCAGCTGTCTATTCTCATTCGAGGCACTGTAATGATAGTGCCACATTCATTTAGATGTGGCTGTGTTTCATGCTTGAACTGACACTATAATTTGATGGACTTCCACTAAAAACCTCAATGCAATCGGCTTCTAAATTTGCATTAGAAAATTACTCATTTGAGGGTTGTTCAGCAGACCAGTCTGATTTACAGTTAGATTTTAATTCACAGCAATTTGCTTTTCTACAATGATGATTGACTGCAACCCACACAGATTGCAAGCACAACTGTTGTCCATGCAGATTTATTAATCACATTTGCCACGAACCACGTTTTAATTTCAATGAAAATGAATGTCTAAAATATAAAGTCCATGCCGTTTAACCCATTAATTTTGGGAGTAGTTGTGACCGCAGCATTTTTTGTCTTACATTTGTAGCTGCTTGTGCATTCAGTTCACTTGTATTGCTAAGCAAACAGCATTATAACACATTATTGGATTTTGTTTTATCCAAGCAACAATGAAATAGTTTTTCTGAATTATAAATGGGCAACCATGATGAAATTAAACCAGTCCAGAATTATGACGCTCATGGTTACACCGCCGCAGTTTTAAGACAGTGGTTTTCTATCAACTGAGATTTAATTCAGTCCAATATATTGTTCATGATATGACAACAGTATTTGGATATCATATTAGATTATATTTCTCGCATTATTTGTGTGTAAAGAAAATCGACAGAGCTTTTATATGACCTTGTCTTTTTTCTTCGCTTCATTGCTGCTTGCTCTTATATCCTTGGAATCAAACTCGAGCAATTAAAACTGTAACACCTCTCAATGTACAGAAAGTAATATTGCTTTGTAAGTGGGATAACTTACTTAACATTGTCTCGCTGAAATATTTGTTCTTACAAAAAAGATATTAGTTTTTATTAATCTGCTGTTACTATTTTAATTTAAAGGGAATATATATGTTCCAAATTCAAGGAAAAATCATATTCCATTCTGTAAACCATTTTCATGTAAATCTAACGTTTGATGTTCCAGTGAAGATATTTTCAAAGCCTTTACTTTTGTTTTGATGTAGCGGGCATCCTTGTTTTGCCATATAGCATTTTACATTTAAATCACATTTGCAATTCGGTCGTTTAACCCCTCGTTATTTCACGTTTTACTGATCCATTATTACATATAAGGGCTCAATATAAGTGTTGGATTTTGAGAAATAAGTCTCATAATTACATTATCCTCCATGGGACTTGCAGGTAATGCCTTGCCTTAAAAGAGAAATATATGTGCCCGTCAGGCAAAACACTCCAAAGTTAATGATGTCTATTTTCTCAATCCAGACTTTCATATGTTAGGCACACGCCCAGATTTGCCAACACTAGGCTTCACACGGTGAAGATAGTTACTCCTTTATATAAAATACCATAATTCTTTTTTGAAATTGTGAAAGCAATGTTTTGTAATTTCCTTCTCACTTTGTTTTTACCTCGCGGTTCATATTTTTTTTATTATTACAACATTACTTTGTCCTGCAGAAACCATTGCAGTTTATAAACCATGTGGGTTTAAGTCGTGAATCATTGCTTGCTCTTTCGTTATTTCAGTTCAGCTATCTTTACTGATGGGCATTAATGATGAAATGGAGGCTCAAATGTTGGTATAAGAAATTAATGAACTTGGTCATTCTTTATTTTTTGTCGTGCTCCCTGTTCATGCATTGTTGTGTGTGAGACTCTGCAAGCGAAGCAGCCCGGACAATTAAATAGATAGAGCATGAAATATTTGAATGATATCTGGACACAATTTAGATACATTATTGAGTCATAAAGCACTGACAAATGGAGGATTGTTGGAGCAGCTGAACAGATGCCATGTCTGAGCACATTCGCTGAAGAAACAGTAAAGACAGTATTTTGCCACAGCAAGGCTGTGATATGTGAAAATCTATTTTGAAGCGACGGTAATGCAATTCAGATGCTGCTGAACTTGCCACTCTCTGACCCGTTTGGGCATCCCCAAGGAAACGGACCAACGGATAATACGACTGACGGACGTCACGTCACTCGAGCTGCGCCTGATTTGCTCTCACGCGCTGGATGCTGTCATAATACGGGAGAGCTCAATGCTGCCGTTCCAAACATCCATCAGGGGTTTTAGTCTGAACCCGCACTTGAACGATTCACACGGATGACCATGAAGCTCCATTTGAAACGCCGTTCAAACCATTAACTCTGAAGGTTCGCCCGGAAGACGGCGGTGCCGAAGGGGTTAATTCGAGTACTATTCAGTCTACATATTTATTGGGCTGGGACTAGATTCCGTGCGATGCAGGCTAGAGGGAGCCTCACCGTGGCAACAGTAACCCAGCAACCGCTGCGCCAACTGTACGGTGATATCCGGCGCGATCATTTTGCCGTGCTATGAGAACGAGCGGGAGCCGGCTCGGAGGGGAGGAAGCAGCATGAGCCGCCGCGCTTACTTCTACCGTGTCCCTCCTCCACAGGAGCTGCAGAGGAGAGGGGACGGGCCCTCTGAACCTGGCAAGACCAAGGCCCTCCAGACAGTCGTAGAGATGAAGGTGCGTGCAGTTTTTTTTTCCTGCGCTATCTCTGCACTAATTTTTTTGCAAATATCCACGTTAATTTATATAACGTTAGATTGATTTTATGTTAAATATGAACTCGATTTGTGTTAACTTGGTGCCCTGGATGGATTGTTGCTTTGTTTTTTTTTTACTTTGTGTCAATTTAAAAATTCATTCATTTTTTAATATCTCTTGCCTAGATTATCAGATGCATTTATGTTAGCGGTGTTGTTGCCTTAAGCAATATGCATGTTGTATTTGATTGCAAATTAGTTGGTTAAATGGACTGGTTAGAACACATTTATTGTTTATTAGGCGATATTCACATCTTTGTGTATATACCATCTCCTCCCACATTCATGTCTTCAACATAATCAAGTTAATGACTGAAGTGTAGTCACTCTCTATGAAGCTGTTTCAATGAAAAAAAAAGCAGTCAAATGCACCCTACAGTTATTTAATCCAGCACCTGCTTCCACAACACGTCTCAGAGGCTTTGGTGGTTTCTCACAATTCAAAATAACCATCCGGATGCTCACCAATGGAATGCACAGTGTTAAGACCAGTCGGCAGCAGTTATTTTTTATTTAATTGTATTTATGCTTTTCAACAACAGTACAATACCAAAGTATACACACAGTGGGAAATTGGTGAGAGGCAGAATCTTTACTTTCCATGGGTTTTTACAATTCAGTTTCTTGCCATTCGGATATGTTATTCCAGCTGCAATGCCGCGCAGTCTGCACATGACAGCAGATAACAGTGGGCAGCTCATCTGCGCCGAAGTTCAGCCAGTTGATTCCTGATTCTAAGGTGTTGGATTCGAACTCGCTTTGAATGTTGTGGCAGGAGAACCTTGTTGCATTGTCGTCGTGTTTAAACTGAGCACCAACAATAAGCGCAGTTTCTACTATTGCTTAAAAATGCCCTCCATTTAGTGGCACGAAAAATTTCTGAGGATTCCTCTACCTGCTCTGAATGCAGAAAATGAATCTCGAGTAACGGCCGCTGCATCGTAAAAAAACCCCGTGCAGTTTGAACGTCTGCATTACGTAATGCGACGCAGCCTTTGCTGTTGAAGTTATCGCAGAGGTGCCTGTCTTTTTACCGTCATTTTGCAAGCGTGTTGTGTTCGTAAGCACGCGTGCGTAATGTAAATGTGCATTTTAAGGACTTGACATCACTTGAAATATTCACTGGATGCTGTGCCCATGCACGCTTCCTTTTCACAGCTGTTTCCATGGTGAAAAAGTCAAAATCCACGTGTTTCTTTAAAGTAAATGCCACGTGGGCATTGTCAAATTTTTGAGCAGCGCACTGTGGTCAACAGTAAATGGGCACATTAACTTATCAAAAGCCCACCTGCTTTGAACACCGTTTGTAAAATACTGCACCCTTTTAAAAGAGCAATAGTTTAAAGTGAATTCAACAGGTGTGCTCGCTTATTTTGTGCGCATAAATATGAATGGCTAACTTTTTGGCTTGATGACGAGCTTATTTTGCAACTGCAAAGTATGATGTGAAAAGTAAGTAAAGTTTAGGTATTCCAAAATGTGAAAAAATAGAGGTCTATCATCTTTGCAGCGGGGTTAAAATTAAATCCACTCTAAATTCAGATTATGGTATTATGTACTTATATTTAGACCAACGAACACAGATCCTGATGTATCCACATGGAAGTTCATAGTAATTTATATACAAATTTTTCGCTGGTTATTTACCAATGACAAGTACATCGCATTTGTAGAGGCAGCAGACCTTGAACTGAACACTTTGTATTGTCTGCTGGAGAAAAATCACCATCTTCCTTTATACAAATGGGATAATAATTCAGAGAAAGTAGCGTTTTAAAGATTGCTGTCTGCCGAATGAGGGATTAGAGGCAAGGCTCATTGCAGCCATTAATTTGAACACTCAGGTGTTTCATTCTCCATTAAGGGTCCTGTGGGTGGTGTCGTTATTCTATTGCTGGTTCGCTTCTGTTTGTTATTAGGCTTAGGACAAATGTGGCACCAGGGAGTATTTAATTCTGCATATTTATTTAATTAGTCCTGCAGATATATAAATTATCAGGTTGTTTTATTCAGGGATGGGTTCCTATATTGGCTGCAAATTCTCATGGGATCTGTTTTGTTTTCAGTATTAAAAGTGCGTTTTGTCATGTGAATAAAAAATGCTCTGCCGGCAAGACTCAGAACCTTTGCTCATTGACGAATTACTAAAACGTTTAAAAAATAAATAAGTTTTAATCTGTTCTGAAAAAAATTGAGGCTCATAAGTCTTTTAAGGCATAATTGCTCGGACACAGTCTGCAAGCAGATGCGCACAATGACGTGATGTTAATCCCTTCAGTGTTGCAGCACACCCTATGACCAAATCACCCACATTGGACTGTTTGAATGGTTGACTAATTTGTAAAAACAGGTTTTCATAGGGCTGCGGAGGCTTCGTGGTGGGTACCAGAGAATAGTGCAACAACATCTATTGTTATATCGTGCTTTTTAGACTTAAAAACTTTCGTGACTGCAGGAATTCATATTCTTGGTTCTTTCGGTAAAGTCATGTAGATAGAAAACAAAAATGAAAATTAATATTTTCTTTTCATTCCACCTGAAGAAGACCGCTTGTGTTGCGATCTAAACGTCGTGGGTTTTTTGCTCTTGATTTTTGTTTTCTATCTACGTGACTTTACCGAAAGAGCCAATAATATGTCGTGCTTCCATGCTCCCACGTATATGCTCCCCATCTTCACCAACACGCACTGACCATCGTGGTGAAGTACGGTCAGATGGCCCTAACTCGACCCGCGCGGGCGTGGCGCGGTCCTCATCCAGCAGTGGAGTGACAAAAGGGCCTGTACGTGCACATGTGGAAGCAGCACGTCGCAGCAGTCCAGAATGCCCCGTATCATTATGAACCCTCGCATTGTTATTGTAATGCTCAAACTCCGTGGTCCTCCCATGCGATGATGCAGGGCACCTTTGGCGCCTTGTGAGCGAAATTGCCACGGTGCGGCTGTTTTCCTTCAAGCAGCGAGACCCCTACGCATGTTTGGGTGCGGTTTAAGTTTCCCTCCTTCCCCGCTCGTTGCACTGCTCAGGATACGAAGATTGCGTCCCTGGAGAGGAACCTGCGTGACCTGGAGGATGAGGTGCAGATGCTGAAGACGAATGGTGCCCTGAGCATCGAGGAGCGAGAGGAGGAGCTGAAACAGATGGAGGTGTACAAGAGCCATTCGAAGTTCATGAAGAACAAGGTAAGGGGTCCTTGAGTGTGTGTGTGATACAAAGACAAAGACCCCCCCCCCCCTTTATAGCCTGCACAGACTGTTGGGGCGGGCGCTGTTTGTGAGCACCTATGAAGGCCGGAACAGCACACGGGGGGATGAGTGGGCCAGCATCACGTCCGGCCGCCTTTGCCTCCCCCAGTGGCGTTGTTTACACACTTCACTGGGTACTCATTTGAGGCTGAGCTGGCCTAGGGGAGGCCCAGGACCGATTCAGACAATCGTCACTGGTGTTGACCATGAGCGAGAATTTAACTCGGGCAGCCAGGTTCGAAGCGCACTGCGTTAACCCCAACACTTCTGTTCCCCACGTGTGTGTGATACATGCACACACACACACATGCCCGCAATTGCACACTGCACTCCTAGCATGCATGCAACTGTAACAGTGATATTGAAATTACCTCTTAACTCCCCACATGTTACCTCCATACTGCCAATGAGATCCGGCGCATTAGGACATTCTGAAACCACGGAATCTGCAAATTGAATCAATTCTCTGTTTAATCATCCGGTGGCTGTTGGCCCATTTTCCACTGATTGCCCTTTCTTACACGGCTGTAAGTGGGATGTAATGTATATCTGTGCACACAGTATGCGTCCTACCAATTCCTCTTGTGATCAGAGGGTTTTTAATTGAAGGGGGAACACTGTCATGTTTTAGACGGTCTAATTTCGTTACTTTAGCTTACAGTTCTTTGTCAATCCACTGTTAGGTGAAACCTTCCTATTCTGCGTTGGCAATGGGGGTTGTTTGAGCATATTTCACCACGCTGGTCAGTTCGGGTTGGTGAATTATTGGTGTTAGCTGACTGGGAATGTTAGCTGACTGGGAATAAAACTCAAGTGACAGGGTTCTTAGGGCACTGCGCCAGCCACTGCACCATAGCAGATATAACTTTGCAAAGTTAAGTGCTCGGTGCTCCAGCTATTGAGTGCACGGGAGGCAAACGCTTTTATTGGGAATACTTTTCAGAATGGTACACAGAGCTGCATTGTTCCTCTTCCGATGTAACGCTCGACCACTTAGTTCACACGAGTGACCGATTGCTCGCAACCACAATCTTAAACAAAGCCTTAGTTATCACAATCACGAAGACGTGCAGGACTTATAACGCCTCCTCGCAAAGCATTCTGCTCACTTATTGTCCCCGACTGTTAACCGCCATATTGAGCAGCACAATATCACTTGGGAAACTGTTGGCTGATTATAATGAGCTGCAAACTGTGGCAGATTCGTTAGAAACACTTGCATCACTTGGCAATTTAGGTCACTGCCAAAGCAGCTCTTTATTGAAGCAACAGCAACATAAAACACCTGTTCGTATGCCATGTGCAGTCTTCATCACAGAGGTGAATATATTGTAAAAGCATGTAAGAACCCTTTTTATATTTTTATGTTTCAGAAAAATGTTCAGGAATTATGAAAGAGCGCACATGAAACATCACCACGCCAACTTACACATTCATAGTATCAACATTTTAGATACAAGTTATTTTATACTCTTAATTTGATGTTAAATATGTGTGTTGCGCTGCTTTCGCAATGTGCGTAAGCAACCACAATAATCAGGTAATATTATATTTCTTATTAACTATAATCACCCAGAAATGTTTGTCCGTCCCGTGCATGACGTCACTCCACATGCCGCACCCTTCCCCAATAACCATAAGCGAGTGACGTCACTCCACATGGGGCAACCCCCCCCCTCATTAATAATCATGAGCTGAACAATTTTTCTATTGAATATTTCAGATTTGCTGTAATATACCCCCGTCCTTGGACGGACAAAAAAGCTAGTATTAAATAATATTGCAAATGATCATTAACGATTCTTACAATTTTCTCTGGAATAAGATGCTCCAGAAAGTAAGACACACTGCAAATTTGTGCGCCTGGGTCAATCAATGTATATATACATTTGGTAACATGCATAAACACACACAACACCGATCAGATTGTTTTTAAAATACAGGGGCGGATGAAGTGCATCTAATCCAGAGATTGTGTGGTGTGCACTCAAAAAAACACCTTTCTAATATTGTATTATTCTTTATGCGTATTTAATTTTCGTTTGCAATCTATAAAAAAGCACCACTGTGTTGCTAGAGCGTGATCGTCAGTGGCTACGAATGTTTAACAGGTTGAAAGGATGAAAGAAGATTTAGCGGTGAAAGAGGTTGAGCTGCACGAGCTGAGAAAGCGAGTTGAGAGCATTCATTCAGATCCTGGCTCTGCAGTAAGACTTGCGTACGGTTGTGGGATCTGCAAGCGACAAAGACTCTGAGGCTGGAACGATGACAATAAATGTATTCTCCCGTTGCACGGCTCATCGCAATCTAGATTCCAAAAGTTTGCCGCTGTAAGGCTTACTAAGATGCTCCTTTGCTGTAGCTTAAAAAAAAGAAATTAAAAGCCCATTGACCAAAAAGAGGGGAAATAAATGAAATAAAGAAAGGATGTTTTTGGCTCATTTTCAAAATATGATCATTTTAATGGAAAATTGCTTGTCGGTTTTCTTTTCATGCTTGTTTATTTTTTTTCAATGTTTACACAGAGCAACTTCCGTTCGCAGTTAACAAGAAGGTTCTGTGTACCCAGCACAATGTTACGTGACTGAATACTGTGAGCTACGCAGCCCAGAAAATGGTTTCTGGCTCAAGTACAGCCGCTGCTTGCCACGTTTCCGACATTACCTCGATTTCCCGGAACTTTTTAAAATTGCGCCGCATGGCATTTGGGCTAATGTGGGCCACCAAAAGGGGGGGGGGGGGTTGAGGGCGGCATTGAGCCTAAGAGCGCAATCTTGTGGCATTTGCAAGGCATAAAATGGACCTTAAATTCTGAGCCATCCTTCCAGCTTGAGTTCTTTGGTTCAAAAGGAGTGGGGTCGTTTGCTTATTGCTGGGCTTAATTTCCTGTGAAGTCTGGTGCTTGTGCAATCAATGCAATCACCTTCTTTGATTAAAATGATTGAACGCTCTGCTTGTCTCAGCTTACGCCGATTGAATATGGTGTTGTGTAGATATATTATTCTTACTAGTTGCTGCATCAATTGCTTTGCTGACTCTTCACACTGAGCGCAGATGGTAAGGAGAAAGCCTGATCTGCATTACTTCACTTATGCAGTTTGAATAGCATGCTGTATGCTGTAAATTATGTACTTATGCATTAACCAAGACTCACCGAGTTTTATTTGACTGCTTTAAGAGCTGAATGGCATGACAACATTTTGGGAAATTAAGATAATTATCTAATTTGTTTTTAAATGGCATATTTCCTCCCAAATGTTCAGTTTAAAAGTTTAACATTATTTTATTAATTGCAAGTCAAAACATTTTCATTACTTTTTACAAGGCCACACTTGTGTTGCATTTGCCCAGAAATGCAATGCCTTGTGTGCCTCATTGTGTTGGCCAACAATTTGTCTTGAGTTTGTAAATTAAACAGCCCACACATTGAGGACATTTTTGACTCGATATCAAATTCTAAAAATATCCTTGATGGCTGCGTTTACATCTGGGTCAGCGGTGGAAGGAAATGAAAGAATATTCAGTCAGTGGTAGTTGTTTCTCCCCATTTGTAATTATCAAGGGTACTGAGCCATTGTAATTACACTGATCTTGCCTGGTTAATTTACTGGCAGAAGCTTCCGCCTAGGGAATGCGTCTGCAGCCTGCAGAGATTTATCTCTGATTACTCGCTCTCTCCTATCGGTCCTAGCGCTTTGGGGATTTAAAATAATACTTTACCTTAAATTTTGATTTAAAGCTTTCGTGACTGCAGTGATTCATATTCTTGGTTCTTTCGGTAAAGTCACGTTTAAGGGAAACAATAAAATAATAAAATATATATAAAACAATACAATTCTCACGACGTTTCGACTGCAACACAAACAGTCATCATCAGGTGTGAAAACCAACGGCAAGAAACATTTGAAAGTAGTGGCGGTTTGCATTTATTTAGTTATTTTAAAAACTAAATAAATAAAATAAACACATACAGAAATACAAACCGCCACTTCTTTCAAATGTTTCTTGCCGTTGGTTTTCACACCTGATGATGACCGTTTGTGTTGCAGTCGAAACGTCGTGAGAATTGTATTGTTTTATATATATTTTATTATTTGATTGTTTCCCTTCAACGTGACTTTACCGAAAGAACCAAGACTATGAATACTTTACCTTGCTTGGTGACAGGTTGGCTGCGGGCTTAAGCGGCCGTGTGCGCGTGGTGCATGCTCCTCGACATCATGCGGGCCTGGGTACCTGCGTGCGCGGCTCTCGCTTTCCGAGCGCGGCGTGTCTTTGGCCTGCGAGACGGGCGAGTCCACTGTAGGTGGACCGCACGGACGTGGGTGGGAAATGGCAAACACCCCCCCCCCCACCGCGCCTTTCATTTTCACTAAAACGTGTGGCCGTTTGTCGTTTCTGCATCGTCGGTGGCGCGTGCTCGCACGCAAACACGCACGTGCAGGTGGACCAGCTGAAGCAGGAGATATCCAGGAAGGACTCGGAGCTGCTGGCAGTGCAGACCAAGCTTGAGACTCTCACCAATCAGAACTCGGACTGCAAGCAGCACATCGAGGTCCTCAAGGAATCGCTCACGGCCAAAGAGCAGCGAGCGGCCATTCTGCAGACAGAGGTGCACTGTCCCATTCCCTGCGAGCAGTGGGGACAGGTTTGTCAGTTTCCCTCCTCCTGACTCGAGTCGTTTTCAGATCAAGCGACAGATTCCAAATTAAATACTGTCTGAGAGGCATATGGTGGCATTAGTCAATGCTGTCCACCACACTTTACTTGAACCTGATAATCGCCTATTTGTTTTACATGATTGCTATTGTATACATTTGATGTGTACAGCCGTCTTGTCAATCCACTGATGGGTGAGGGCCTCCCCCATGCCACGTGGGTCATGGGAGGTATTTTGGCTGTACTTCAATCCGATCGATGTGCTCCGATGAAGCTGAGGTGCAAATAAGTTGGTGCATCGAAGTACTGCACAACATTGGATTGTGCTGGACTGCCATCCGCTGCCCCCCCACCACATCGGCTTCGCAGCCTATAACAACCAGTTGTGCAAGATGGCTGCTCATTTAAGCGCTATTCAGCCTCAGCTGTGCTGAGTTTCCTAACTGATGGGATCATGTGCATTCTGGCGAGATTTGCATACACGATGCAGGCATTGTCAAGATGGTATTGTCAGTCAACTTTTTTTTTTCCCCACTCTTTGAGGTTTGTACAGTGATTAATTGCAAATGGTGACTCACAGGGCCTCGTCGCTGAATTGATCATCTATAAATACTTAATGTTACGCCGTTCTTGCTGTCTTGACGAGATGGATTGGGACTCGCGCCTATTTCCTCCCCCGCCAACGGGTGCTCTCATTGCACGCGACACTGGATTCTCTCGCAGAAGCATCCAGTGATGTGCAGAATTATCATCATCATGGTCATTCCACTGCTGGATGAAGGCCTATCCAAGCTGACGACTTCGGTCTCGTGATGTAACAACTCGTCAAGCATCTGCACATGAGCAGATTTAATTTATTGATGTACACTGTGTCATAGGCGTAATCAGCAATGATTGTTCCACTACTGGATGAAGCCCTAGCAAATCCTGTGATATAAATAAACTATGAAACTAAAACTAAATAAAAAATAGTTTTTTTTACGAGCTAAGGCCCACTGACCTATATAGCTCTTTTTCAGAAGCGATCTGGCCACAAATGAAAGCTCAATGAAGTGGCTTATGTGTAAATTGATAGCAGTGCAATACTCAAAACACATGTTTGTAAATGTGGACAAAAAAAAAAAACAGAGGACCCGGAGTAACATCCACGTGACTACGGGGAGAATATGCAAACTCCAAATGTATAGATGTAAGGGGCGGGATCAAACCCACGACTTCCTGCATGTCGGGCGAGGTTAACATCTTGCCAGCATGGTGCCCTACCAGCCCACCAAGCAATCTGCATGTGAGCCGAGTTTATTGCTCCATTGCCGTGGATGACACTTGGGTGTTCTCTCCCTTGGCTACCACTCTGTTGTTAGTCTTGACCACTTGCAATCCTGCCTGATAGCAATGTCTGTACCAGGCCTACTGTAACGAAACTTTAGCAACATGCTATAATCATTTAACAATAGTAAATCTTGAATGCACATGACATTGAATAATTATACATCGAATGGGAATTACTGTTTTAATGTTACATTCGTGTATTATGTTCACATAAATTCATTTCATTTTGGCACTTAGAAACACCTGAGAATGCACAACCATTGTTATGTTTTTAATAATTCACTTTCGCAGTGGATTAAACTGAAGAATGTATTACCACTACTTACCATTAGAAATACATTAATTTCCAATTTTCTTATTTCCCCAATTTCCAAAATATTTTACAAATGATTTGCCGTAACCTTATGAAGACTAAGTTATCCATTTGCAACCCAATAGCATTTAAAGGCATCTTATGGAATTTTCTGAGAATTGTCAAATTCCGACCCAATTACACAAACCAGCTGCCCTTGGAACGGGACGTTTCATTGACTTTCTTTACAAATTCAAGGGAAAGAAATATCGGTTAAATGCCAACTTCAAAGGGTAGGTCATAAGAACGGACACATCTAAGGCTAAGGAATCTACACACTGCAGCTGTAAATGATAATTCGATTGTTTTGGTCTCTTGGCGGCATTTATTTCAGCTAGGGCATGAGCCATTGAGTGAATACAGAAAAAAGTACTTTTTGTTTTATAATCCCGAGATTTGATCTTGGCCCTCTTTTGGCATACCACGGTTGATTACAACATGGAGCGTGGCCAAAAATAACTGCAGGCAGCCTTAAAGTTCTGTCTGAAGGAACCAGATTTTATTAACAGGAAGCCTGCACAAGCGCAAAACACAACCGCTGCACAATTTGAGCCAAGCAGAATTGACATTCGTTCGGAAATTATTGATATATATAAAAAAAACATTTCATTTATTGACGTTCATAAAAAAACGGTGACCTAACCTTAACTCTAACCTTATTACTTAACCTTGCCAGCACTTGACATCGACGTTTTCATTATGAATATCACAATAATACAGTTGTGGGACTAGTAGGTGAAATAAATCATCGATGCTACTCATTTCTGATCCTGTTTCAATCTAGGGAATGCACCATTGCCAATTTGCAGCCGTAGCCCACAATGGATGTTTATTGCATTAACCATCATCATCATTAGCCATGGTCAATCCACTGCTGAATGAAAACCTCTCCAGGCCACCACCATCTCATGAAACCGATGTAATAATAGGCGTTACTATTGAACACATTTAAAGTAAAATCAGGAAAGAGTCTTTAATGAAAGAACCCAAAATACTCCAGATATTGTCAATTCTTGGAAATGTAAGCAAGGTTGAGTTCGGATTATTACATGGATGGGTGAACACCATACATAATAGTTTATACGAATAGGTTTTACCCTTTCTGGCAATAAAACAGGTGTTAAGATGTTAAAACACCAAACAAACCTTTCAAAAACAATGCATATATTAGCAGAGCATGTTTTTGTTGTTTGCATGTTCACCACAAGTACGTGTGGTTAATGCAGATAGGATTCCTTGCAAAAAGGTTTATGTTTGGTGTTTTAACATTAACACCTGTTTTAGTGCCAGAAAGGGTAAAACCTATTATATTTTGATACTGGCAAGAAAGGTCCCATGTTATAACAACAGTTATTTTTATGCTGCTGTGACGCTTCTCCGTGGGTCTCAGATGACATTGCAGGACAATATCCGTGATTGTACTGCACTCTTCTGCATGCAACATCTGCGTTGCCCGCCTTCACCAACCCACACTGACCTTAGCGGTGAAGCATGTTCAAATAACACCCATGGGTGTCACAGCACAGGCAAGCCTTCATCCAGCAGTAGATTGAGGCGAGGGCTCTACATGCGCGTGTAAAATTTGATGGAAGGAAGATTCCTTTGTTGCAGGTTTTACAACGCATTATTTGCCAAAGTGCTTGACCAAGGACGCCCATTAGTAGAACGTTCCTACCAAGCACTTATATTTAGCCACATTATTAAGGAGGCACGCAACCCCATAGAGAACTTATAGTGAGCCAAGGACAAAATCCAGAAAAGGTCTCTTTGGGGTCTCTCGCACCCGCAACCGCCTCCCTCGCACTCTTCAGCTCCCTGCCCCCCGGCCCCAAGTCATTAAAGTGCTCCCTTTCAGTGAGCCCGAGAGCAAGCAAGCTATGTTATTATTCAGGCCATCACATAATTGGATGTTTCTTGCAGTCTTGACTTACCCGCCGTGTGATTCACCCTGAAGTCCGCCACTGTGCCCAGAGCTTGAATTTCAAAGTCGCGCTCTTATTGCTTGGTTCTCGGAGAAGTTCCGTGTGATCACGGACGCTTTGCGTGTGATGGTTGCACGCCCCCGCATGCCCCCCCCCCCCACCCCCCCCCACTGCAGAGCCTCCCAACAGGGAGCGTGCGGCGTGTAATGCCGTCAAATATCGAATTTAAAGTATGCCGCAACATTGACATTGTAATGACTACCCATGTCCCTTACAAGGGATCGCGTAATTAAAATTATTTCCCTCACTGGGAAGCCGCACCCCCCCCTTTTTTAATGTTTGACATTGCCCCCGGTGACGTTGTACCAGATGGCAGAGACACTAAAATGCCACCTCCTTACAGGCAGAGCCATGCAAGATGTTACCGTCCACACACTCCTGAGTTTTCATTGTGGCACAAAACGTATTAAAAGACACGGATTCTTTCCAGTTCGTTTGTGAAGCTCCCATTTTGTAAGATAAAACAAACACTACGCTTGGCCCAGTCGCTGCAGTTCGTTTATTAGTCTATTCCCAAAACTGATTTGAAAAAGTAGACGTTTTGGGGTGTGAGGTATTTTAGAAAATCTGCAACTAATTTGCTCATCTGTTTTTTTTATTATAGCAAAATAAACCTTTTTTTGCTTTGACTATCCAAAGATTAATTTCAACGCACAGTTATAATATGTAACTAGTAAATTTTGATTTAAAGCTTTCGTGACTGCAGGGATTCATATTCTTGGTTCTTTCGGTAAAGTCACGTAGAAGTTTTTATATTGTTTCCCTTCTACGTGACTTTACCGAAAGAACCAAGAATATGTAACTAGTAGCTTTAATATACAACCCTTCATCCATCCACTGCTGGATGATGGGCCCCTCACACCATGTCGATCATGGGTTTTGTTGAATCATACTTCACACCACTGGTCAATGTAGGTTTGTTAATGGGGGCCAGGACTTGATATGATATCACTCACCACTGATATTCACCATGGCTAGGAATCAAACGCGCCACAGCTCCTCCCCATTGGTGGTTACTTCATTGCAATGTAGTTAATGGTGGAGAGAATACATCACAAGCACAGCTGAACAGTGATGCTGCTGCTACTGCATCAGAAGGGGCACCCTCACTTAAAATTCATTACGTCTCATCAGTGTTCTCTCGAGGTACTTTTTCATCTGACAATAATAATCATAACTTATCCATAAAAGCCTCACCGAGTCTCAAAACTTTTATTCAGAAGGGTCCTGCCAAGTTTTCATATTCGGGAGTGATGTTGCTATTTGTATTGGAAATTGAGTCATTTGCAGGTAATGTTTCAGCAATTGGGATATTTGGCCAATACTAGTTAAATTATGTTTAACCTGAACCTGGAGGAATCCTATGCGGAACAGGGGGAGAACGTACAGACTCCACACAAAGACACCCGAGTCAGGAATCAAACCTATATGCTGAGGCGCAAGTATTTCCATTGCAGCAACTCTTCCACCCAAATATCACTTGACCCTGCTGGCAAACGTGACTGATAGAAGCAATCTTTCCAAACTTGGATAATGATTTAGGAGAGAGTGTGAATAGTTGTGAAAATAAATATAGTGATTGCAGATACCAATTGAACAACATACCTTTCTCTGCAGTGCTTGTATTTCCAATTAAGAAAAGCATGCAATGTAACTAAATGCTAAACAAAAAGATTACTTCTAAATTACTCAATTGGGGGAATTATGCATGGTGACATTGCCGCCCTCCTGCTGCAAAACTTGTCAGGACCCTCCTGAAAAGGATAACTAAGCATAATAATACAAAATAAATACAAATCCCTTCATATTACATTAGAAGCAGAAACAAATAAAGCTTTCGTGCTTGCTACAGAGGTGACGTCTGTCTCTTTTGAAGCTGAGTTTTCGCCTGAGTACATCACAGCATTCCTCCTTTGGATCTGGCCGTGACTGATTTTCATGTCTTTGGCTGATGGGGATTTCACGGGACTCTCTCCACTAGAGGAGGCTGCACCTTGTCAGCATTGAGATGAAAGCAACCAACTGCATTGCGGTGTCAAAGCAATGAGCCGGCACCGCTGAGATCCATCCTGGGCTATAATCCACGCAGCGGCCTGCGATTAAACATTCAGCAAGTTTACGGTCCCAGCTAGATCACCAATCGCCATACAAAGACATTTTTTTCTTCACTTGAAGCTGTTCTAGCTCTGCGAATTATAATGTTCAGTTTATCTGCCATGTGGTGAACACTAATTGTAGGAAATACAAAATCTCTGCCTTTAGTGTGGACGAAGAAGCCCATCCAAGATACTTCATAAGTAGTTCTGTGATGCCATCTTCCACGGCTCTTTTGTGACTTGGCTAGCTGCGAGTGTTCTCATTTTTTTAAATCATCAACTAAAGTCATGACGCCATGAGATAAAAAGAGAAACATGTAAACTTTCATGCCTCGGACCAGGTCAACCACACCAGTCGACATGTCCACATGCGTGGATATGTCGATGTGTCCACACGTGTGGATATGTTGACTGGTGCGTGGACATGTACGTAACGTGTACAGTTAACGATCCGCATTTTAATGGTTCCACTGCTGCGTGCAGGTTGATGCCTTGAGGATGCGCCTGGAGGAGAAGGAGTCTCTGCTCAACAAGAAGGGCAAGCAGCTGCAGGAGCTGACGGAGGAGAAGGGGACGCTGGCCGGAGAGATCCGCGACCTCAAGGACATGCTCGACGTCAAGGAACGCAAGATCAACGTTCTGCAGAAGAAGGTTCGTGCCTCACGCGTTCCCTGCATTTATCTGACCATGGAGCGGTGCTCGCTCCACGGAAGGTCCTCAATTTTGCTGTCAGTTTTTACCGAGTGGCGCCTAGATGTTAACTATTTCCCCTGATATACAGGCGGTTGTGGGTTCGATCCCGACCCTGACGCCCGTATATTTGGAGTTTGCATGTTCTCCTTGTGGTTGCTTGGATTTTTCTCCGTGCCCTCCAGTTTTTCCCTCCACATTTAGAAATCTGCATTTTGAGTATTCGAATGCTTATAAATTTCCACGTAATAAGCCACTTCGTTGAGCTATCATTTGTTGCTGGGTCACTTCTGAAAAAGAGCTATATAGCTCAGTAGGCCTTGCCTGGTAGAATAAAAACTTTCGTTAGATTAGAATGCCGCATGCTGGTCTTAGCCGCAGCTCATTATGACAGTCGCCTATATTAATCCACTGTAAAACTAGGCCAATGTTGGCAGATGTCGAAAGCGAAGCAATTTTGAGCCTGGTGATCATAGTACCTGGATTTCAAAAGATAGAAAACATCTCTGCAATCAACCCTCAGGTATGAGGGTGATACGAGCTCTATCGATAGGTAATACCTGGATGGGGGACTGCTTATGGAACACCAGATGTAGTAGTTTTGAGCTGAAAGTCAGCCAGGAGATACCAGTGCAGCAATGTATTTTGAAATTTGTCTCTGTGAAAATGTGAGCGTTTACACTCCTTGTATACTTGGGGTTTCTCTGGTTGTTCTGGTTTATTTCGACATGCCAAAAACTCAACTGAATTAACCAAAAATGGCAATGCAGGATCCTCTTGAAAGAAAATATCGAGGCATGGTGAGAATTTCTTTGGTTAATAATCGGTATTATGTTTCCTTCCGTTTTTGTGCATGTCACATTCCTGTAACTTAAGGCATCACTTGGCTTCTGTCATCCTCTTTAAGTCATGGCATGATGGCCCTAGGTTCAGTTGTCTCCAGAAAATACATATTTGCTCACTGTGGGTTTATAATGTAAGTGTTTAAGTGTGGGGTTGTCCAATCTAAATAGTGCCGAACAGCACATAGACTCCGTGAAAATATAACATAAACGTTGACGTGTCCTGTGTTTGTGGCACGCAGTTATACGTTTCCCTCCTCGTTAAATACTCGTCATAAGATTTAACCGATAATGCCAGAAAATGAATTGGCACTTATATCGTTCTAATTTTCTATAAAGCTGAGAAACGAAGTTTATATGCAATGTAAAACAGAAGCAAAGGGTTCAGCGCGAATGGCTTTGAATCTTCAACTTTTACGAAAATGCATTCGTTCACTTTGGTAACTTGCCGACAGCATTAAAAACTAAGGAGATCTTTGCAAGGATATTGGAAACTTTTGAAGAAAACAATCTTATCATCGCATCTGAGTAATGTAGTTCTGAATTTGTTATAACCTACATTACAGAAAGAGGCTTCGCTAGCTCTCTCTTTCCAGGTTGTCCCGCTTGTTGTTCCACGTGTTGTCCGCTGTTCAACTTCCACTTGTTGGGAGATTGTAAAAAAAAAATCACCCCATATGAATCTTCAATTCCTGAAGAAGCTATGCGTATTCGTGAATATAATCAATTCCTGAATAATCTGTCGCACTCAGCGCAACCCACAATCACGTTAGAGAGCTGTACAACACAACGCAGGAATAACAAAAAGACTTCCTGTGTGCGTGTATTTATTTTAACGTTCTCATATTTTCTTTTCTTGGGCTTCGTGTTAAGAGAATTGCCGGTCGGTCATTTGGCATTCACAAGCTATGTCGCTGTCTGAAACGGAGGTTTTTTTTTTAAGGAAAGGCCTCCGTGCAAACATTTCATACTGAATGAAAGCATTTGAAGACCTTAATAAATCAAATGTGTTCAAGTTAAACCCATGCTCGCTTCGAGTCTGCCACTGCTGTCTAATTAAAAAAAAACCTTCTTTTATGCGTGAAAGTAAACAACGTGGTATTGTTTGTGTCAAGTGTGTGACTGTCGCTGCACAAATTAATATCTGAAACATTGTTTTAGGTTGCCAAAACATAACTGTAGTTCATGGGCCAGAGCAGAAATTGGTGCCACCTAAGGGTAGTAAAGCTTTAGTGGTGCCATTTTATTCATATGGCTAATGAGTGAATTATCTTGAATGTATTCTCCGTTATTGTTCATTTATATATAGCCACTCGGCAGATGCGCCATCTCATGCAAAAATGTCAAATAACAAATACCCCCTGCTGTGAATGCGGCTGCACTTTGCAATCAATGGATCGCACCCTTAATCAATGCCCTGTGAGATCTTTCAAAGGAAGAATAGCTGAAACACACTCGCTTTGCAAAAACACCATCAACCGGTTTTCATGGCTCTTCAGGTACGACCACTAGGTGCCTCTGTGGCTCTATGATGGGAAACCTACAAAATAGCGCGCTCAATAGCATTGGCCTGGTGGGTGGAAGGCAGAGCTGCAAGTGACTCTGCCCAACAATGCAGTAAATTGAAATTGGCTTTTAATTGCCTGGCTGAGGGATGCCCAGGTTAACAAGCAACTGGGTAGCAAGCGATTAATTTGTCATAATTTTCGGCTGTTACTTGCCGAGAAAATGCTTGGTCTTTGCGTCGGAGGGGGCACATTAATGGAGCTTTCTCTGGGTGGTTATTAGCACAGTTCTGTTAGAATGGAAACAACAATTCGCTTTAGTTTAAGTAGCTGCACTACCAGGACTGTGATGAATGTGTGTGCAAGGACTGCACGTTCAGATGTTTGGCTGGTTATTTTTTTTTATTCGTCATTGATCTTCCAGCAGTGGATGTTTACTTGCTCCTTTTTCATAAAGTGGTGGTCACGGAAAGGATGAAATACTGCATTTGCGGGGGGGGGGGGGGGAGTTAAGATTAGCTATAAAGTACTTCCTATAAATCCATTTCTTAATTGGACACGTCGGTTTAGACAGTGCCTGTTTAGCGGAATGTGTAGGCGTTGCGCCTTTGCAAACCCATGTGCGCGACTGGGGAAAAAGAAAGAACGACATCGCAACACAATTTCGCGTATTTTTACAGAAAGCTTCCCGTAGCGGGCGCACGTGTTTAGCCGTTTGACGCAGATGAATGGCAACGCACGCACAATTTGACGTGCATACCTTTACAAGTTATCAAGCGTCGTTGCTATTGATTTAAAGCCTTGAAATATTTACAGCTGCGCTCGTTTGTGAGCAGGGTGTGCAGCAGTAGCGTATTTTTACGTCACTCGTGCACACGGGAAATGCGAGTCTGTTCCTCTGTTCCCCCGCGTGCATGTGTGCGTACGCACGGTCGGCTTGAAGGCTCAAGCTTGTGCTTGGCCCCTGTCTCTCAGCGTGCATTCGTGCCTTGGCAGCGAATCCGGCTCGGCGTGGTCGGGGGCGGAGGTTTGGAACCGCAGAGTTTTGGACGGTGGCTCATCCCTCCTTGGAATGCGGCATTAAATTACCACGCCTGATTGTTGAGTGTCACGCGCGCTAATGCCAGCCACAGTCCATCGCAGCTCCCACCGGGCACATCACAGGCAGACCGAGCAAATACAATGCGATGGGTCTTCGCGTCTCTGTCACGCCTATTATTTCTTATACAGCTGAGGGTGCCACAGTGTGAGTTTAGCAACAGTGCATTTTGTGCAGACTCTTAATGAATAAGCACTATGCAGCCACAGTATAATGTAATTGTAAGTGAATTTTAGACTCCTTCAGCCCTCCCATTTCCCCCCCTTCCACAAATCAAAACACTGTTTATTTATGTTCGGGTAAAACTAAACCGATTCAACATAAGGCCAGGTGTAATTATATATACATTTCTATGAATATGGTGACTTTTGCTTTGGGAATACAAATTTGGCAAAAGTGACGTTGCTTTTGGTCTTTATAGTTTGGAGAACGTTTTCTCACAATGGTGGTCGTTCAATATTGTGACACAAATTACTCCAAATCCTTGGGCAGTAATTGATAGCATTCAGCTGAAAAGGCAATTTGATTCAAAAGCAAATATACAATATACCATATATAAAAATGTATTTGGGGAAATATGTATGCAAAAGATTTGCAGAATATTTTGCGTATTACAATAAGCAGCTGTTCTTATTTTACAACATTGGTGTCACACTCCCTACGTTTTGCATGCCATGGATCAAATCAAATTGTCATCACGTCGACTTGACATCGGCTTAAACGGAATCTCAATAGCTATTGAAACTTGGGCACATTTATAATGGGAAAAATGCATCCGATTAGAGATAAGAGTTGAAATCGGTGGGCATCGAATGATGTCAGCTGCACGATTGGCAACAACATCCAGGCATTATAGGGTTTCACATCATTCACCACATACCATTCTCAGCCACTGCATGCTCCGAGGTGGCATGAAAGCATTTTTGTTTAACCGTTGCTGAAGTTGGCGAAATTTGCAAAAAATAGTTTTAAGCACTGCTCAGAAATTCCTTGACATTAATTTGCAAGGGAATTGTTTTTGGTGGTGGAAAATAATAGTAAATCTCTTTATTGATCTACAAGAATTATAAATTTAAGCCAAGCTGGCAGAAATGTCTTATTTAAAGCCTGATCATTTGTTCTCATCTTAGTGTTGTTTTTTTATGCATTTAAAGTATTCCACAATGGTATGACTGGTTTCAGAAGCAAACCAAAATTTTATAAAAATTGTATTGCTCAGGGTACTTGTAGCATATTAATTACGTGTCCTAATTTGCGGGTCGTAGGTGCGTTCATAAATTAATATAATTTACATAAAAATGCCAGGAAAGTATATTTCTGCACATTATTTTACTATCAATCTACCTTCCGGCTCTGCCAAACCAAATTGATATATTTTTTTATTTAAATCCATTAATTAAAACAAACTTTTTTTTATTGAGATGGTTATACTGTGGTGCATGCAGCTGCCTTTGAGCTGCCCCCTCCTGCTGCAGTCGGCTAATGATGTGGCTTTTTACTGCACATTTAAAGCCA